AACAGCTTGTTCCTAACATTTAATAAATTAATCTATAAACTAACAGCTTGTTCCTAACATTTAATGAATTAATCTATAAACTAACAGCTTGTTCCTTACATTTAATGAATTAGTTTATAAACTAACAGCTTGTTTCTGCCATTTAATGAATTAATCTATAAACTAACAGCTTGTTCCTAACATTTAATGAATTAATCTATAAACTAACAACTTGTTCCTAACATTTAATGAATTAATCTATAAACTAACAGCCTGTTCCTAACATTTGATGAATTAGTTTATAAACTAACAGCCTGTTCCTAACATTTGATGAATTAGTTTATAAACTAACAGCTTGTTTTTATTTATTGGAATAAAATCAAGTTAAAAATAGAATATCTGAGTTAATTAAACAGAAAATAAACAGTTCAGTTAAATGGTCCAAATAAAAGCTGTCTAGTTTCATTAAACACCCGACTTATGTATAAAAATAGCAAGTGAGTTAATTTTATTTTCTAAGTTTCATGTGAAGTCGTTCTAAGCTTTTGGATTTAACCTTTTTTAGCATTGTTCTGTAAACATAACATATGCTAACCCTTATTCTCATATTATAGAATCGTGTTTTTATTGAAGATGTAATTGACTTCCTATTTGTTTCCTTCCTGCAACTTCCACGTGAAGAAATTGATCAGCCCAGTGAAAATGACACTTTGGTTCAAACGTGGTCTTACAGATGCTAACAGAAATGTATTCTTTTCGTTTTTTGTTTTCATTTCAGCTAAACCAAATAAATCCATCATATCAGCCGTCTGCCTCTCACGCTAGGGCTCCTTCAATCAGATATCGTTACAATATGAAGTCAATCACTGATCAGCTAGTGGAAGTTATATGTGCGTGACGTATATACAGATAGTTATACTGTAACCTATGTGGTTTATTAAACAACGAGTCTTGTTTAAAACTTGTTCCGTGATAAATATTAATGGTTTCTTCTGGTTTCATACCCCTAGATGTTTATAAATTATTACGCACATGTAACGCGAATAGGTTTAACATTTTACAGATTTCAAGAGCTATCTTATGAAAAAAGACGTTAGCTGAAGGTCGTAAGAAAGGTTAAAGACATGACCAGCCAGTTTAGTCGGGGTCACATAGGTCAGAACGTCTGTAGGCTTCATGCGGGGTTCTGTGGTTGCCGCTTTGCTGCACCGACTGCCAATCTCATTAATTAAAGGATGAAGCATACGCCTCACATGTGCCATTAGTGGAGGTCTATTTCAGAATTCAACGTCTCCTGTGGCATGTTATCTAAACTGTCGGGGGGCAAACGAACAATGAGCTATTATGGGTCTTTACGTTCGTTATAAAATAGAAAGAGGTTTGTGTGATCAGAGTGCAGGTAAAACTATACGATAGACTGTTTTATAAATTTATGTATCGTTTCCTTATACAGGTAAAATTATATACACTATACAAACATGTCGACTTTTTCCTTAAACAGCAGGTAAGTATTAGATAACAAGAAATAAATCTTGATATGTTTGAAAATTCTTATACAGATATTCCAAAGTACGAGTACGACAGGTTGTCCGAGTATCCAGTTTGAACATTTATCGGCTATATGGATCCTTTAGAAAATCAACCCATCTGAAAAACAAACAAGTCTCTAGATATGATTCTCTAAAGAAAGACGATAGCAGCGCCTTCCTCAGACTCTAATAAATTCCCTCTTTTCTATAGTTACACAATGTTTTATATGTGCTGTGCCCACCACAGGTATCGAAACCCGGTTTTTAGCGCTGAGCCACTGGGAGGTGAAAGGGCAGATAAAGATGACGTCCATAACTTCAACAGATAAGTAGTTCCGTCAGTGCTAATGTGATATAAAGGTAAACTTAAAAAAAAATCATCAGAAAACTATCTGTACTGCTGGTCAATTATAACCTAGGTGAGAAAAACTATTGGTTCAATTATAACCTAAGTGAGAAAAACTATTGGTTCAATTATAACCTAAGTGAGAAAAACTATTGGTTCAATTATAACCTAGGTGAGAAAATAACTATTGGTTCAATTATAACCTAGGTGAGAAAAACTATTGGTTCAATTATAACCTAGGTGAGAAAAAACTATTGATTCAATTATAACCTAGGTGAGAAAAAACTATTGGTTCAATTATAACCTAGGTGACAAAAAACTATTGGTCCAATTATAACCTAGGTGACAAAAAAACTATTGGTTCAATTATAACCTAGGTGAGAGAAACTATTGGTTCAATTATAACCTATGTGAGAAAAAACTATTGGTTCAATTATAACCTAGGTGAGAAAAAACTATTGGTTCAATTATAACCTAGGTGAGAAAAACTATTGGTTCAATTATAACCTAGGTGACAAAAAACTATTGGTTCAATTATAACCTAGGTGAGAGAAAACTATTGGTTCAATTATAACCTAGGTGAGAAAATAACTATTGGTTCAATTATAACCTAGGTGAGAGAAAGTATTGGTTCAATTATAACCTTGGTGAGAGAAAACTATTGGTTCAATTATAACCTAGGTGAGAAAAACTATTGGTTCAATTATAACCTAGGTGAGAGAAAGTATTGGTTCAATTATAACCTAGGTGAGAGAAAACTATTGGTTCAATTATAACCTAGGTGAGAAAACTATTGGTTC